AGTCAAATGCCCCGATCACATTTGGAAAAGAGCTAATTTTGTAGAATTCTGTTTTTATCCTTGTGCAATCTTCATGTTTACAGGGCATAGTAATCGCTGCAGATTCTTTTGTTATTATTCTACAAACCGTAGATTTGTGCGCTCTCAGCAACCGTAATTTGAAATGCTCATGTAGCATGGTAATAGCTTATTGTCAGTAGCACCTATTCCAAAGCACTGATAGAATGGTTCCTCAAAGTGAACTGTTTAATATTCGGTTTTAATATGTTAACTAGTAATAGCACAAACGCCTCCTGTCCGTTGGTTGGTACCGATTCTTAAATTCCCCTTCATTGTAGAAATCAAACGGATTCATTCTGGTCTTAAATCTTTATCGCTGCTGGATGTGCTGATACTCATATTGCTACTATCCGAAAGAGACATTATCGTAATCTAAAACCAGAATCAATATAAGTTAATCAAGATATCAAATAATTTACACTTACAAAGAAAATGATATTATTACAAATATAATTTCGTAATAAATATTTCTGTTTAACATACTTTAAAAAAATATACTTATATGAAGAGAAAATGTAGTCTCACGTGAAAAATCAGTTGTATTCGTAAGTTAATTCGCCAACAAGCACCGATTAGTTGACCGAGCTTTTGACAGACGAATAATCTATGATCAAGGCTTGACCAGCGTTTCAGAAACCCAAAATTGCGATAATCATTCGATTCTTGAGTTGATTTGACAGCCATGTCAACTGACATGATGGTCAAATTAGTTGATTAATCATGCTTTATGCAACCCAATTGACACTTGACAAGAGATTTAACAGGAGATTAGTTAATTTTAGCGTTGACAAGCCTTTCAGAAACCGGGCGTAAATCATGCTTTATGCAACCCAATTGACACTTGACAAGAGATTTAACAGGAGATTAGTTAATTTTAGCGTTGACAAGCCTTTCAGAAACCGGGCGTGAGTCTAATAAAATTTTGATTAATTAGTCTCTAATTTACGATTTGTGATTCCAACTGAGCGGTAACGTAAACATCAAATTATATTTTTACTCCCAAACGCGTTGAAGTTATAGGACTTTTATCGCTTCGTTTTTAAATAGATTCTGTATTTAGTTCAGTTGAACTACTTATTATATATATATTTTTTAATATGTTTATGATCTATATCTAACTATGTTGTTTGTAGATTGGACGGCAGATATCAATTACTCTATTATATAGATTAAAGATCGCCAGCCGAATCTGGTCCAAACGGAATGTTTACAAAAATGTTATAAGTACTAGAAATGTAAAATTTAAGAAATATTCTTTAAAACTCTGTAGACATTTATCATGTTAGGTTCTTATATTATAAACTTTACAGAAATTAATGCGGGTCAGTAAATTTTCCAGATCAACAATTTTTGGGATATCATAAACAGTCGATTTCGGTCGACAAACTTCTTAGAAATGGTGGTTACATAGATTAACAACAAATTAAAGATCGATAGACTATGCCAACGTAATTCGTCTGCTTCAGACAATGTGCTTGACATGGCTGCTACTAAATATCAAAACCCACGTAGTGTTTCGAAGAAAATTGACCCAATTTGTTTCATTTTATGACATCACCAGATGCCGATTTACTTGGAATGTACATAATGGAGACTATCTTGAAAATTTTCCGTCTGGATTTATTAAAATATTTATCCTTAAGGAGTTACGAGTAAATTGTATATTATTTAGATAATATTTTTCTTGCTTTATCTTTCTGGCATCTTCCCAATTAGGTTTGTTTTAGAATTGAATCTTTTAGTATTTATGATGATTTTGTATGGAGTTCCATTTACGACATCATTTCTGAGCGCTCCAAATTTCTGACTTATAATTGTTGAACTGAAAATTGTTTAACATTTCTCTCCACCCTCGAATCGCTTGTGATATCATAAGTTCTAGATAGACTAATCTTGTTTAGACAAATTTATTTCGGTCCAAACACTTAATCCTAATAAAATCGTGTCGTCATACAGTCCCTGAGACATAGCTACATGTTTGTATGAGTAGCTAAGCTTATAGCTTATGATAACGACAAGCAAAGGTTGGGAAGCAAATATTTTCATAACACCGGCTGACTGTTGATGCTTGTTAGTCCATTGACCGGCGTCCGATATACACAATTACATTAGTGTAATGGTCCCTTAATAACATGACTATTCTTTCATCCACATATCTGCCATTGATATTAATCTGTGGTCTTTCAATTCTCAAGACCGTCAGAAGGATGGGTATTACAAAGGCTTTTGTATCACATAAAGACCGAGTTATAAAATGAGACAAAGTCATAAATGGGGAAAGAGTGAGAGAGAATGATGCACAATCGAACGAACAGATCAAGTCAACCAGAATGATACCGTGGTATTACAAATAACTAGCGTAAAACAACGTGAGGTTTTCAATCCACTCCCCACATCCCCAATTTCCATTACCCAAAATCCTAACCCCCCCTCCCCCCCGATAAAGCAGGCAACGCATTCTTTGGTGTAATAATTATCCATGGGTGGCACCGATCGCTTACCTTCCAGGCGATTCATCTGTTCATTTGTCGACCTTTCTCATAAACAAAGTTATTTTATTTATTGTCTTCTAGTATTTTACCAATAACTATACCTGCTTTGTTTTTTTACTTTAAGTACCTTTCAGTAGTATAGTAAACCACCGGGACTATATTGGAAAACTTTGATCTCTCTAGTCTTACAAAGTAGATACCTAAAGCTGTCTCGATGAAAATGTGGGCGTTAGCGATATTTTCTTTGTGTACAATGGTGTCTACCCCTTCGGGCATTGCGTCATCCTAAATGTCATGTAGCTGTTTTATTAGCCTTTAATGTGTATAAGTACTCTCTTCTAATTAGATTCACTATTATCTAAGTACCTTTTACAGTTTATGGGTTAGACCGTTGCTATCACTTTCATTAGGAAAATTCCCTACTTCTCGAAGGTTTTTGAATAGGTGTTTCTTTGTAGGAGATTTAAAAGTGTCAGAACGTTCTGGAACATTTACACATAATAATTGAATTTGACCAAGAAATAATAGTGGTTGCACGAACGCAATCTACTAAAAATTTTGAGTGTTTGTAATTATTAGGTAAAAGAACTTTGTTATACATTTAATGAACCCTGCAACTACAAGGTACTACAATCAAACTCAATTACGTTGGTTTTTGAAAGTAACACTGAACACAATGACGATTAATATGACTAACATCTGATCATAAGACTTTAATATAATAATTAATCATTAAACATCACGTACAAACAAGTCAGTGATAATAAAGATAATGACGAGAGCAGACGGTATTTCTGAGAAAATCTTTATTAGACGTTATTGGTTGACTCAAATCGCTCTGAGATGATTATATGAGATGTTTTATGCAGATTCTCCGCTTCACCACCCTCCTTGAGCAGCGGTGGGAAACGATGGCTCGATAGTGTTCATGTTCATATGTAGGTGACTTAAGAAAGTCACGCTATGTGAAATACGTGTATAGGAATCCCCCCTTTCCTACAGGAATTATTGGAGTTATTTAACTTTGTTCCCGTTCCGACGAATGTCTTAAATTGTCTAATAGACAAGTAATTCGATATTCAGATCGATTATCTATAACAGTTTCAAGGTGTTGTTTTCTAAATAATAATTAAATAATTAAACCTATTATTGTATTACACCAGCTCCAGTAATGCGTGACAATGTCAAGGACAGTCTAAATTGTGGGACGATTTGTCACGACAATAGTAACTTCATATCATTATTTGTGACCTTGTCTTGTTCGATGGTTTCTATTGAACCTTGGGTACCAGGTATGCTATTGTCAACCCTTGAAATTTGTGAATTAAGCTACACGCGACATTGCAAAATCCATGGACACAGTTTCAGTTATTATTGCTCACATTGTACAACCGCTATCAATGTTCTTACAACAAAAACTAATAACTAAAACCAATAGGCGTGCCCTTCACATTCGCACCAACCAAATCATAGAAAACTAAACCATTCTCGCCTGTGATAGAACCTAGTTTGCTTTGAACTTCGGTAGGAAGTCGTGAGTGTCAATTGTGCAGTCGGGTTTATTCCGCGGTGTGATTCTAAAAATAGGATTCTTTGTACATATGTGCCTATGTGGGCTGGTTAAGTGTTGGTCCCGTGACCGGGCCTTCCTTATCATGCAACATCATGTGGAATCCTATGTCTGATGCGTTATGCTATTAAGTTTAAAACGCAGCTAGAACTTTGTGCAAGACGATAATGACATAGGTAATTATCGTTTTTAATGCTCCAAAAATTTAAGTGTTTGATCTATTTCCATGATTATAAACGGCTTCATATTAAAATAATCACCTGCATACTGGGTTTGTCTTAACAATTGATGGTGTCACATATGTTTAGGCATCGCTTTCCTCTAACATAAAACGGCTCCAATTGGGAAATGGCTACAGTGGGAAGGTGTCTCCGGGAAATACAATTTCCATTGAAAGGAATGTAATGTGAATACTAAGCCGGTTATCGATTCAGGGTGTTCGTAGATTTATATCGCTGCCTTGCCCTGGCCTGCTGCCAGTGTCCGCGTATAACAAATACTGGGGCATGACTGCAATTGCCGACTTTACGTCATTTCCGAATTCCTGTTTTGTTGCAGCTTCAGAGTATGAGCAAAAATAATTGCCCCTTTTAACATCATGAGTAATTGGAATGATGGTGACAGTTATGTTTGGATTAATCAATAAAAATACTTAATTTTTCAGCTCAAAGCAATACTGAGAAGCTTTGGGTAAATAACAGAGACGTGGGCAGAGCACGTCGTTAATTGTTGCAATTCTTTTAAAATAATGACTATTATCTTGAAATCGTCAATGCTACTGCGAATTGTAAATACGTCTCAAATTGGGCGTATTTTCGTCAATTGCGGTTGCTAAATGGTTACGACTTGTTTTTAATTTACATCGTGCTAATTTCCAGATTCGTGAAAGACCTGGAGGATGGTTTCGTTCGTCACCGGCCGACGGCGCGGCTCCGGCAGTCTGCGTCCATGGGTGCGTCTACTTCGTACAATGAAGTGATACCGCCTCCGTTGCCTCCGCCGCCAGTGGGCCTTACCCAGGGTAGGCGGGTGGATACATCCCTCAGGCGTCTGGAGCGCACTCATGATGACCTCTTCCAATTGTAGCGGCCGAGGCAGCGCAGGTATGTGTTACTGAAACGTAGTTGCTGCCAGAATTCATGTGGCTTTTATTTTTATAACAATACTCAATGAATGACAGGGCTAAAAGTAGACGATGAACCATTCTATATCCATCATAATAAGTCACCTAGTTTTATTTATAGGTACCACTCAACAGAAGGTAAAAATTTAATTTCCTATTATGGTATCAGGTTTGAATCTCAAAGAATTTTCGTAGATAGAAATTACATAGTACCTATTAACGATTGTTCATGTACAGAAGATGGATAGTAAACAAATAGTGCCACCTACGTGCACGTACGTATTAGATGCATACGTGCTTTTCACATTTAAACCTTTTTACAACAATAAGCGAATGGTCCAACCACTCAGTTCGCGTCGGCTTCAAAGCTCATCTAGATATGATGTATCTTTTCAAACATTCAGATGCAAGATTTTATTGCAAATAGCTCTATGCTGAATTCTAGTTCTCTCAAAATAGCTAGTGCCTCAGAAAAGTAATGTTAAATGTTATGTTTCCATTGACATAGTTCATTCGCTGCCCATCAGTTTTACGTCCCAAATGTTGTGTTAACATTTATGTTGAATAGTCTGTGTGTTGTTTTATTGCGATGTCTTTGACGTCAATTGCGGTTGCTCTTAGATCCTAAAGTTCTAGATTGGTATATGCATATTTTTATGATACCATTCTTAAAATAAGCGTTATATATACATATATATTTTTTGAATATAACGACCTACTCACGTCAATTTACTGAGAAAAGCTCTACTAGTTTCAAGTCACAATGGGACTCTAATTCATAAGCAGCGTGCGCATCACGGCGACGTCGCGCAGCTGACTGATGTTGTTATTTTGAATAAAGTTAGTATGACTTACGATAGTTCTTATTTTAAAAAAAGCGTTGAACTTTATATGAACATAACTGACAAAGACTGACTTATGATTACAAAAAATATGGAGGATTTAGATTGTTTTACTTTATTCTAGTATCTTGCTCCAAGATCACTGCGGTTAATGAGCTCATTGATAACAAATTGCCTTTGGTAAATGATAGTTCTCATAACGTAAGTGTGTTAATAGGATTACACTTATGGGTTTACTAGATGTAGGTAAATAACAGGTTAACTGTTAAAAAAACCATCGCAATTTTGGTTAATTAGTTTAGTGAAGAAATTTAAAAACACACTAGATCTAAAAGTAGGCATGAAGATTTTGACGAATTAAGTTTATGGAAAAGAGATGTGCCAGAATCGTATCATTTGGCGATCCATTGAATCTGCCCGCCCGAATGGGAGGTAGTAAACATGGCTGTGTATGAGTATGCGGTGTAGGATATCCGGCTGTGTTTCCACCCCTATGTCTCGGAAAGCACGCAATGCCGATGACGCTGCGCCTGACATCTCTTGACTTGTCGGTAAGAGTGTGTACATTAGAGAGTAACATTTAAGTGTGGTAGAGCCAAGCTTCGGCACATATGGGTCAGCTCGACCGGAATGATTCCAAGGCCTCATATATCACCGGGCGGCGTGAAAGAACCACAATGTGGTGTTTCGCCGTGTAAGTGAGGTTACCTGACGTCCAATCCTTGCACTCCCCCAATTCCTCCTTTATCTCTAAATCTCCATATACCTAATCCCAAAAGGCAACGCATTCGTAGCTCCTTTGTTATTATTGCATTATTGCAAGTGACAATGGGCGACGCCGATTGCTTAACACCAGGTAATGAGTATGCTCGTTTACCGCCCTATACATAAAAAAGTTATTTTTTTCGGTGATCACATGCACGTCAATATTCAAATGTATTTCTACTATGTGATACGGCTGCAAACGGAATTCCTGATGATAAGCAATCAGAACACTAGTCTGACTTGGGTATAAGGGGTTTTTGGGAATTAGGGATCGGGGACGGGAAGGATTGGGCCTCTGATAACGTCATTCACATGACAATTTTTTAATACTGGTTTTCAAAGGCCTTAATATCATTCCGGTTTAGCCGGCCCATTTGTGCCGAAGCATGGCTCTCTCACACTTAAAAATGTATACAGTACAATATTATTAATCTATACAATTAGTATGAGTCACTTGCGCGTGACATACACTCATTGTAACATTTTTAATTGCGACAAAAGACGCATTTGTCGTGTGGCTGTTATGTTATCTAACTTTATAACACGAAGATATTTTTTGATGATTCCTTGTAGATAAAGATTAAATGATCAGCAAGTTATTTTTTTTATAAAAATGTTTGGTGTTTATAATAAACTTAATAAAATTAATAAAACATAACATTTAGCTATATTAGTTAGTTACTATAGCTACTCTGACGCAGTTTTATTCACAGGCTGCTTGACTCTATGGGGCATAGCATGATAATTTATAATACATAGCCAAATTCGATAAATGGAATATCGAACACAAAAGGAAATGTTCAATTCAAACTAGTAGTTCCTGAGATTAGTGCATCCAAACAAACAAACAAAAAATCAAACAAACTTTAAAGATATAATAATAATAAGAACATAGTTTTTTAAGACTGATTGATACTTTACAGATAATAATTATGTTGATCAAAGATATTGTTTCCAAATAAAAGTTGTTTATTGCCTCCCATCCTAATCAGCTGACTCATATACCGCATAGAGTGCAGTAATCTTATCATTAATTAATGATGAATGATTCAATTAATAATTATCCAATACGTCTCCAGGTTTTTTAGTATTCATCCTTAGTGTGTATAGAAAAATGAATCTCTGAAAGCAAAGTGTAACCTGCTTAGAGCCATTACGAACGCTCAGCAAAAAAGAACGGCCACGGCGTCGAAATGGTTGTTAATTCCCGCTATTCCCTTTTACTTTTCTAAAGTTTTCTCTCGTAAGAACCTTCTCCTTTTAATAACGAACATAACAAAAAAAGAATCAGCAAAATTGGTCCAGGCGTTATTGAGTTATGCGCTTACCAACACATTTTGCGATCCATTTTTATATATAAGAAGATAACGTTCAAAACATACAACTCACTGTCAACACTTACTTTTATAGATATATTATTAATACATGCTTAGATCTTCAAAACAACGTGATAGATTTTGATGCGGTTTCTTTTAATAGATATAATGATTCGAGACAAAAGTTTAGGTGTAAAATTTATTAAGATATAGTTTAAGTTTTACAATGCTTTATTAGACTGATACAAAAGTAAGGAAAGGTAGGCAGTAATATTGTATACTTATTAGATAATTTGAACTGTTCCAGGTATGCGCGGTTACAATGAACGCGATGAGCCTGCGCTGTGCTGACGCCACAGCGGTCGGTCGTCCACGGTCACGGCAGCGGTCGCGTCGCGCGATCCTGTCGCAGATCGCAGTCGCACTGAACACTCAAGTACAGTCGGTGAGTCAGTCGTGAGGGCACTAAGTGATATTAGATTACTATATTCTTAATATTATTGTGCATAATCTTAACAAAATTTATTGTATCAAATATATCGTCTATAGTCAGGATTAGTTACGAATCTGTATAGGTGCGAATAAAACAGCGGTTGCAATTTTAGCACCTAAATAAAAAGTTTGCATGGTACCATTATGTACACGCATTAACTGTTTGAAAGCCATCTGCAACATGTTCTCAACTATGTCACGCCAAAAGGTCGGCGAGGCACTCGTAACTCCTTTGGTGTTGCGGTTGTCAAATGGCGACGCCGATTGTTTTACCATCATGATAAGGTGATTCACTTGATCGTCTGCTGTTTTCTCTTAAAAAAAATCGCTCGTTTTTGCCGCCTAATCCTGACTATAAATCCATTATAGTGTAATCATACATTGTTTTACAAAAATCACACACCATTTATGACGCAGTTCAGTAATCAGATGTACCGTTTTACTATCTTCGTAATAATTATCCGCGTCAATGAGTGTAATTAATGAAAAAAGTAGGTAGAAGTATCTAAATACGCAAACTGATAATAAATTTATCCTAAATAAATAATATTTGATATAAAAATCAGTGTCGATAAGAGTGTTCTAGTTTTTAGGACGCATTGCAGTAGTATTGGTTATATGAGAAGTGTTACAAATATGTTTTGCTATATATTCCGATATATATTTTTTCCTTTATGGACTGTTTAATACTTTTAAATGGTTTGTTTTCGAGTGTCTATTTTTTCTTTATTCATAAAATAGTTTTTCGAATGCCAAGTTCTATGTGAACAAGATCTATATATACCTATGTTGGGCAATTTTATTACTGTTTCTCGTTAAGTTGGCTCAAGCCATATTAATTGACGATTTATGAGACAAATTAATTAGGCTGTTACTACTATGTAACTATTCCAACTACAGGCACTGGCGCTCCTTGAAACTAATCGAGTTTAAAATTCTTTTAAGAACTTGTTAAATGCAGTCCAGTTTTTAAACAAAGTGAAATTTGTTGTTAATCTGTATAATCCTTTTCATAACATCAAAATTGCTTGCTTTTACTAAAAATGTTACTTAAAGTTAGCATATAATATTCCAAAAAATCACTCGTAACATTATAGCTTAGCTGTTTTTTAGCTGTAGCTAATTTCATCATCATTTATGTATTATTATAAACGTCTTACGATAATTGTACCATATCCTCTTCTCCTAATGTCTATGCCGTTTTATTAGAGGTAACAGACCTCCTTAGATCGCGGAATATTTTCCACATAATTTTTGGTCATTTTTAATGCTGATATGAGTTCTCTTTATATACGTTTTCATATTCACCACACAATCATGCTATAATAATATAAAATGTTATTTGTCAGATTGAAGTAAAATATTAATTACTCGTTTATGGATAAATAAACGTATAGTAGGTATATGAAAATGTTGCTTATTTGGCAATCTACAAAACATAGTCGTAAAGATCATATATATATAAAGTTAGGCCCAAAACCTTTCCCCCATCGCGGACAACAGACTTGTAACCTCTATGGTGTAGCGTTTGTCTATAGGCGGCGACTATCGCTTACCATCACTATTAACGTCATTCATTTATACAAGAAATAATATCTTTCACATAACTGTTAAAACAAATATGAATTTTAAAAGAAGTAAATTATTTCACTTGTTAAAATGAACTAAAGGTACTTGTAAAAACGAAATAGATTATACTTCTAAAAATATAATTAAGAAATCTCAGCCTCACGCGACTCATCGTCTCAACGTGATATATAACTATTATACATAATAATATAACGTTTTTATTATAATAATAATAATAATTATGTATATTGATAATAATATTATATTATAGCAACTGGGGCTTGAAAACACGTGGTCAATATTGTACAGAGTTTTAAACAGTCTTCTAAGTTCCGTTAATTCATGTGCGGTTGTTATATAAACACTGTTCATTGTTAATTGAACTACGAATCTTCTAAGAGTGGTTGGTCTTAATCTATAGGCCTTTTTTGAGAGGTGGGGGTTGTCAGACTCTAATTAAAGGTCTCCCCGTTCTTTCTGCTGCAAGCCTGACTGGGGTAACGCATTGCGCTTCACCGCCGAACACCCGCAACCCTGGCTGATAATATCCACGCCTCTTCGATCGATATTAAAATGGTTCAGGTTTATTAAGTTACCTGGGTGGACTTATCTTTAGTTGACTCTTAGCAACATCCATGGACGGTCGTACTACATTCATAACCGTATGATTCTTTAGCTACATTTATTTGGAAATAATTTTTGGCCACGTGTTATCAAGCTGCCCCCAAACGTCCTTATATTTGTTATACTTAGTGTATAAACTATACAAATAACTTTTGAGGCACTAAATACATATGTACGTGTTGTTGAGCTTAATTTGTATTTGTAAAAATAAATAACATAAATAAATTAGCGGTAAATAAGTAGTATAAGTTACAATTTGTATAGTTTGAGTGTACATGTTTAAACCGTTTGTATGTTATGGCTTAGAGTAATGTGAATAATCAGAGTAATTGATAGCAAATTTTATAGATAGTATGTTATAAAAATGTCCTATTCATGTATCGTGTTGACTACTCTATATTATTATGTATATCCTGTTTATAGTCTATATTTGATGTCTATAAAGTTAGTCGTGTAAAGTTATAAAAAGCTATTTGTTGTCCTTCGCAATTGACTACAATTTTAATAATATGTATGTAGTGTTAATATTACAAAATTCTGTCACAAATAATTTAATTTGTTACTATACAGTCCTTATTATGAAGATTTTATGAAATTATGGTTTCGTCAAACCAAAAGCGTCCAAATAGTATTCCACTTTAATTATTTTTTTTGATTTTTCATCTAAAAAGTATTTACCGCCAAAACATTTCATTTTGACGTTGTCATTGTCAATGTCGTAAGTGACAGATCTTGCATAGATCATTTAATCTATGCCTATGTCACATATTCAGCAGAGAGCATTCAGAGTTGGCGGCTGTTAAGAGAAAACACGTTTTCAATTTTTTTTAATGTGTACATAATCCTTTTATTTGTTTTGTTTGATATTTTGTCTTTGATATAAAATTTTAAGGACTGTATGTAATATACTTGTCCATGTGTCCTGAAATGTAGATTAAATATGGCATCCCATTTTAAAGTCTATGGTTCAGACTTATTTTGTATTATGTTATGCCAAATAGAATTGTTCTATAGAATTTAGATGGTTTTATTCTCGATGCCAATTAAAAAAAAATCAGATTTTTACAACCTTTGGCATGAGATGTAAATGTATAATTGTTGCATTTTAAACCTTTCTCAAATGGTCACAGACTTAGTTGTTCCATGGAAAAACCCAGAAACTTTACAAGTAAGGCTTCTTAAGTTCTGTTTTTCTTTAAATTGGCATCTGGAGTAAACATTTAATGAAATAAAACATTTGAAAAATACGAGTATAGTATATCTTAATTATTGCGGCTAAAGTTTACGATATCAGTGCCTTGTGATAGCTAATGATACTTCCAATAGACTAGAGGTAGCAGCTATAAAATATAAAATTCTTTGTTAAGAATTGACGTCCTATTAACGAATAATTGACAATAGAACTAATGAGGTCTATCGTTTTTGCACTCAGGAGGTGGCGCCACTGTCGAATAAAGTCTCCTCAAACCTGAAAGTTTAAAAGCCAAATTATTAAGGTATTTTAATTTTCTTGTATTTTCTTTATTAATTGGATTACCTATAGTACCTGTCCGTCATATAAGTGAAGATATATATTTTTATAGAAGTGCTTTTAAGTTAATGGTAGACTTATTTTACATTAGCGCCCTCTGCGGTTAGTTTAAGTACGAAAGTTCTCAGTAGTTCCAGAAACAGTAGCATCTTTACACAATTTCCACGGTGTTGTTATGATTTGTTACTGTAATTGTTAACGCATAAATATCGAATTTGCTAATCAATTAACACTACTTTGTATCGGCAGAAATGACAGAGGGATACAAATACGCGTTGTTTTTTTCAAACGAATGCCGTGGAAAAGTAGCTTTTAAAATAAATTAAATATTGAATCTAAAGTAGGTACCAAATATTTTTATTAAATATGAATGGCGTCTCATTCATACATTGTATTTTGCATAATAAAAGAAACATGATAATGAACTTCATCCTAACTACATTTCCTAAATGTATTTTTATTTCTTTCCGTTTTTTTCAAATATTTTGAGCCATATACAAGTAACAGTTATATTTTCTGATTATTTTTAGTGTTTGTTATTGAAGTAAAGTTATTTATTCATTTGGTTTTTCTTAATACAGTAAACATTAAGAAACTGTTGTAGAAACAATAAACGACTAGCATATTATTATGTAACTACCGGTGCTTATATAATTTGCCATAATTCAAGTTTTATTAATAATAAAAAACTGTAGCAAAACGAATTGGATGAAACTAATTTGAAAGTACTACCAATTTCTTCCACTAGATGGCGCTTTAGTAAAATAAAGGCTCTGTCAGTGCATACGTCTTCATGTATTTGTTGCATATGCTAACTTTAATTCTCTACCAACTTTAATATTGTATATGGAAATCTTTATTTGTCCTTGAAATCGATTCAAGGGATCATTAAATTCGCCTCTAATGAAATTTTCAAGGTCAGTACTCTGTTGTATAACTACTTCATACTATGAACCTGTTATATCAAAATTGAGTGTATAATGGCAAAAAATCGGTGTAAAATTATATAAATAAGCATATTCTTCAGGCCGCTTGTAATTTATTTTATAATATGTATCGAATATATAAAGTTTCTAGTCTTGTGTATATCATTGGGGTTCCTAAAATGTTGCTAGGTAAGCGTGACTTTATAAAAACTTAATAACACTTAACTTTGCCATAGGTATATTAAACATTATCATCTGAACAGATGAAGAAATAATAATTAAATAGCTATACGTTTTGGGAACCCTGGAATAAATAAATATCTATTAATAAAAAGTTAAACATGTTATAATTTATGAATGTGATTTTCCAATAAAATCCATTTCATTGATACAATTATAGCAAAATTTGGACGTCTAGTATAGGTCATTGTAA